AATATGCTGGAGGTAAACACCTCGACAATGAACTTCTTGAGCAGCTGTTCAAGCGGCTCTGCTTTATGGAGGCAATAGATGAAGTATCCATTCAGGGCAATGGGGGATGGCATAATTATTATTTACAGGTTCGGTTTGAAATTCGCGTTAAAGCTGTAAACTAACGAAGATTTTACCAAGCCTGGTCCGAAGGCGCTCGATATATCCAATGGACGACAGCGAGTTGTGCTCTTTTATCGCCCTAAAGCTACCAGACTATCGACTACAGGGCCAAAGGCCCGCAAGGGAAAGAGTGATAGTCGGACGCCTTAATGTCTTCCCAGTTTTGTTACAGTATCAACCATAATCATACTTAGCCTATCACACACAAATGTATCATAAATTCGTGATTGCAACCTAATACTTGCTGCAAAAGGAACTATTTCAATGTATATTCAGAGTGTTTACCTCCAGCATCTGTAAAGTTGTTAGCAGCTATATAATCTGTTAAGCACATGAGCCATCAGCTTACAATATCTCATAATTGTCTTGTATGTTGTGCTCTCCTCCCCCAAACGAGACATTACAGCCTCCACTGAACGTTTCATAAGCACGGATTAGAACTCGTCAAATATCAGTGGCAACGTACAGATGAGGAGCGGTCTTTCCTGGGACCCTGACACCGTTCACGGTAGCAACTCCGTGGTATAACTTGTTTCCTGATGGTTCAAGTTGTCAAAATCCGAGTAGAGTTGGATCGACGCGTTTGAACGAACCGTTATCCTCGTAGCCTCCTTCAATGGGTCGACGTCCAGCTGTAAGCAAGGAAGTTAGTGAGCGCAAGCCACGATTTCAAGAGCTGGATGCACCTGGAATATGTCCATGGGAAACATAAATCAACTCCATCGTATTTGGATCGAACGGTAATAGGTCCTTGAATCATGAACATTACTTTGAGGGCGAACACCAAGTACAATTTACCCACAAATCGTCCGTGATGATGATGCTCTTCTATGCAAATCGTCAGCATATGAACAGGATAGAAAGAGCTTTCCTGATACTCACTTCCGCCATATGGAACCATACACTTGGGATCTAGCGCAGGTACAACTTTACAAGGGTGTACAGAGTTGTCAAAGATCGCAGAACCAAAAAACACAGGAGATACACCATCAGCGTCGTGCAAGGGTGGACGGCCGGTTTGCATTTCAGTAGGGAATGCAGAGTTGTGCGATAGTGGAATCCGATACCCAGAAGCTGGAACGGGAGGAGGAGGTGCGTAGTAGTTCTGAGGCGGAGTGGGAGCCTGAGGAAAATTCATCGACGATAATAGTGATGAGTGAAGTAGAGAAAGCCAGTAAAAGGGGCTTGAGTTTATATATGTATGGAAATGAATTCTCAACAGCATCACATTGCTATCAATCATCCTGAAGCACTGGGCGCATGTTACTACTACAGCTTGCCATTCATAGAGTTGTCAATGGACATGGGAGACAACCTTTAAGTCTCAGTAATCTCGTATTGGCATTTTTTGGTATACTTATCCCCTTCGTTGCTACCTTGCAACCATAGCTTCTTACATGTACTACTTGCCTCTCTGTTATTCCAACAGTTCGATATGGGACGCCGTGATATGATATATGTATCAAAACTGTATCTCCCGCAAGTGGTACAGGAATACTAAGCCTTTCGACCTGGAACAGTACCAAATGGCACGCTTTCCCAATCGCTCGAATTGAGATCCGTTACTAAAATCTTTTTCTGGCTAGGTGGATCACGATCTAGCCGGGATGAATCACTCTCGCCACCTATATTTAACGACCGCATCGAGCGAGACAAAGAGCTGCGTAATGAATATCAGCGAAAAAAAAGTCACTGGAAAAAGTAGCGCTTACTGGATTTCTTGTTTCCTCTCAGTACACCATTGGTGACAAGCCTCCTTGAATTGCAGGAGGATGGTGATCAGCCCGTTGTAAAACTAAGGGACAGTCGCTAAGTATTATTCAAAGCGAAGGCGCCAAGAGCATACATTTATCCCCTCCTCGAGATTGTGAATGATCTCCTTATATTTGTGATATGAAAGATCAAGCGACAGAAGAGCTTGCTCTCGTTCCTTCACCGTCTCAGATTCCTTCCTTGATTGCAAGTATGACTCGTTTTCGCTCTACAGCTCTCTTTCAATGACGAAGCGAATGAACAATCACATGAAACCTTACCTTGATAGATTCAAGTATTTCCTCTTGCTTGACGTCCAATTTCTTCATCCACTGGATAAACTTGTCATACTTTGCAAGTTCGTCGTCCGATACGTCTTCGAACATGGCAGGGTGCATCTCGGCAAGACGTTCAAAACCTGAAGCCGCCTTGACAATTCGGGGCTGGATGTCGTCCGCTTCAGCAAGGGATTCTGCCCGTTTTATAAGGTTCTCTCGATCAGAATAAAGATCGTTTAGAGACTCTAATAAGATTCTAAGACTTCGAGCGTGCTTTTCTGTTTCACCGGATTGTGTCTGTTTGGTCGATGAGGGAATCGAAGCCTCGAGATCACTCTGGCACCGTGTCAGCATGGGCCTTCTGAAGGCATAGACGAACATACTTCGTCCCAAGTCAACTCCGTTATATTCCTTTCCCACTGATCCCATTTGGTTCGAATAGTCTCATCACCAGTTGCTGCCTGTTCCAAAATCGTCCTGTAGCGTCGTTCCTTGTCCACAAGGTGAGCGTTTGCTTCATGGGATGGAAGCCTATCGATATGAATGCTATCACGCGTCGATTCATCCTCAGAGGCTTCTTGGTCGAGTATGTCCATCGCCTATAGGGAATGTCAGATGAATTTCTCGCAGATAAAAATTCATACTTCGTTCAGGATTTTGTGGTTTTGTCGTGAAAGTCTGTATAGATCTTCTATAGTGGCTTCGATTTTAGCGGGACCATTTTCCATACGAACTTCTTCCGCCTTTTTCAGGAAGCTCGGCGGAAGTCCAACAGGACGTTGAAGAGCCTCCAGCGATGCGGGCAAGCTCAGCCGCTGTAAGAGCCTTGTGATAACGTTAAAGAAGCGAAGAGGACAAGTAGGATATCTTTCAACGAACTGTTCAGCGGCATTCTTCGACTCTTTGGCAGGACCAAGAAGTTCTTCTTGAATAAGATTCTTTTTTCGATCATTGTATATGTCTTGACAATAAGGTCAATGAGAGTGCACGAGGAACTTGTGCCACTTACTAATGGCTTCCCGTGCACCCCATCCCATCAGCTCGGAAAACAACATAGCCTGGCTGGGAACAAGTATATTTGGATTCGCCAGTTCTTTGGGTACTGTGGCTTGAGCAACCGCGGCTTGTTGGATTAGAGGCAAAGAAGACCCCGTCGGAACATCATGGTGGTAAATTAGGTCATTGTCGCGCTCTGCGCGATTTAAGTCTTTCTTAACCGTGTCTAGAAATGACTTGAGTGGCCATCAGTATGGGTGGTCAATTGTCAGCCGACAATGAGCACCTGTATATCACTTTGAACAGCAGCCAAGACCTTTCCTCGGCGGGCAATATCGTGGCCCTTCTTAACTGCTGCATGGGCTTGGGTCAAATAAGCAATTTCGAAACCGTATCTGGCATAGTAATTGATTATGTATATATGATGAAACTAGACAAATACTCTTACCTACTATTTTCTAACTCCTCGCGACTTTTCCGGTATTGTGCGACGGCTTCGAAATGATATTGCTTTGCTTCCATGTGTGCTAACCATTCCTATAGAGTCTCGGTCAAAGATCCTTTTGCATTAATATAAGCTAATCACCGAGGGGAAGACGTGTTTTATAGGCGGAGAGGCTTCGAGAATGCTGGTGATCGACTTTTTATAAAAATGCATAGTCTATGGGCAGATCAATGCAGGATCAAAGTCGATATAGTCGCCGGGGAACATACAGCCGCTGCAAGCTTTGCCACCAGGCCGTTCTTAAGATTATCTATGCTTGGTGGGCCTTTCAGATACACGACGACGAGGCGGTAGATATGGCTGACCAAGTTTAGCTTTCTGCCAGAAGCATTCCTGTGCTTGTGCCAAAGAAAGATATTCAAGTGCTTGAATAAACGAATCGGATAGATCCGTGGGTGAGTCTTCTTGGCCTAGTGGCACGGAAAAGTTGGGAAGCACTGCTTTCCCAAGATATGAGAATGTACCCGATGCGTTCTGACAGGGAAATTACTCAGGATTTCAAAAATAAAGATGAGGATGTGTAAGATCTTACCTGATAGTAAGCAGCAGCGCGTTTGATTCCATCTACATTAGAGCGATCCTCTGAAGCAGCAAGTTGGGTATACAAAGAGCCCAGATTAAATACTACTCCCGCCTGTTCGAACATGAGGTTCCTTAGAGTTATGGGCACCACAGATGGAGAGAATGCAGGGGCGTAGGCTATGTCTAGACCAATCTGAGAAAATCAGGAAACACTGGACCCAGTATTCAAGAGTGGAAGAAGGAGCTCACATCGACAGGAAATTTAGCAAGAATCGAGGTTAATTGAGCGTGATAACTGTTGGAAAATAAATGGATTGTTGAAGAAAGAAAATCCCTCAAAAACAACGATATGAAAGCCTACCTCAAACATTCATTAATGCGGTTTGAGTGAGTCTGTAAGCCTACGATCTTCTGTCTCATTTCCTGCCACTGTTGTAGATCTTTCTTGACAGCGTCGGGATGTGTTTCACCGTTTTCTAAAAGGTAGTTACGCGCAGCACCTGCAACATCTACTTGATAGGTTTTCTTGAAAGGAACTGCGAGGAGATTAGACATGAAAAAGAGCAAAGAAGTGCTATTGCCACATGAGCGCTTGTTATTCTTGAGCGCTTATTTTGCGCCGCTGATACTATCATCTCCACTATATTAGTGCACGCCATTTGTTTCCATTGGAGCATTATTGCAGCAAGACGAGTACAACGTAGAGAGCGGGGGAGTTGTGAAAGATACACACAAATTTGCGAGACTAGCTTGTAAATAATCAGGCTAAAGCTTCAACAGAGCAAGCATTAATGGGGTAGTGGTAACCTGGGTCGTTGCCATTTAGCTCTCGACCCGCCGGGGGTTCGATTCCCTCTTAATGCATTCGGTCTATGAGGTTATGTGGGCCTTCTTTTTATTCTTCTGAATCTTCCTAAGCTGTGTGTTTCTATATGTAGCTTAGTTATTTATATAAAATACATGAGCCCATATTTCTCCGTGCTGCTGTGCTAACTGTACTGGCCAAGTACTGGCACAACAAGGCAGTAATCCGGTGTGGCTGTGTGATTGGCCTGACAATCAAATTGTCTCACTTGTTCTTTCCATCATCCACACCAACTCCGAACTCGCTCTGTATTAATACCCTCTTACTCTCCCCGTCTAACGTTTATTTCCAAACTTTATCCTTGTTGCAAGGCTGCAAGCGCGGGCTGCTTTACTTGCCAACTCCATCCTGCGTCCCTCAGTTGTCCTATCCTTCACGTCTTTGTCAATTTCGCCAATTTTCCTTCTTTAACCGACCATCATGTCCTATCCCGATCAGCCTTCGTCGCCTGGCAGTATGTCTGGAGGACGTCGACTTACCAACAGAAATACCAATCGGTACAGTGTAACCGCTTTGTTCAGTATGGCAGCCGAGAACGATGTCGAAGTTGAAGATGATTTGGCAAAAGGTGCGTAGTTTTCTCTTCTTCTTCTGTATTCTTCCTCTCACTCTTCACATAGCCCAAAAGCGTCTTCGTGATCTAAAGGGGAAAATCTCTGCCCAATCCAAAAAGAATTTCGTTCTGGAACGAGACGTTCGTTATTTAGACTCGCGTATTGCGTTGTTGATTCAAAACAGGATGGCTTTGGATGAGGTATGTAAATCTTAATGTTCTAGTGTCTCTGCTCAAAGCATCATATAGCAACGTGAAGTTGAACGAACGCTCGAAGAAGTTGACCCCACTGAAGGCCATTATCCTGACGACCGCAAGATGCAACAGTATTCCAACCTGTTCTTCCTTCTCCAATCTGAACCACGCCATATCGCTGCTCTCTGCCGTCTCGTCAGTCTATCTGAAATCGATACCCTTCTACAAACTGTCATGTTCACTCTTTACGGAAACCAATACGAAAGCAGAGAGGAGCATCTTCTTCTCACCATGTTCCAGTCTGTCCTTTCAGCACAGTTCGAGACAGCCACAGAATTCGGTTCTCTTCTCCGTGCCAACACCCCTGTCTCCCGAATGATGACCACTTATACTCGTCGGGGTCCAGGTCAAAGCTATCTGAAAAGCGTTCTTGCTGAGCGTATCAATAGCTTGATTGAGCACAAGGATCTCAATTTGGAGATAAATCCAGTCAAAGTAAGTTACCCGCTCATTCTAAGGTGGCGCTGGAATTTATATCATTTTCCCAAGGTATACGAACAGATGATAAACCAAATTGAAGAAGAAACCGGTTCACTTCCTCCAAACCTTCCTAGAGGTGTCGCTCCAGAAATCGCCGCGGAAAATTTGGACGTCCAAGCGATTATTGCTCCACGGCTTACTATGTTGATGGAAATTGCCAACAGCTTCCTGGTGACCATAATAGAAAGTATGGAGAGCGTTCCTTATGGTATTCGATGGATTTGCAAACAGATTCGAAGCTTGACGCGGGTGGGTATTTGCACATGGTTGTCTTGCATTATCTCATCGTCCTGGCAGCGTAAATACCCTGAAGCAACAGACTATGCCATATGCTCCCTTATCGGCGGTTTTTTCTTCCTCCGTTTCATCAACCCGGCCATCGTCACTCCTCAGGCTTATATGTTGGTGGAAGGTGTTCCGGCCAAACACCCACGCAGAACACTGACCCTTGTAGGTTTTACGCGTTCCATTTAATACAGTGGCTAACAATCAATCAGATTGCTAAAATGTTACAGAATCTTGCAAACAAACCTTCTTACGCCAAAGAAGCATACATGATGACGCTTAATCCGTTTGTGGAGAACAACAAGGCTCGTATCAACCAGTTCCTTAATAATCTGTGTGAAGTCGGCGACTTTTACGAAACTCTCGAGGTTTGTTTTGTGTCTCTGATATCATGCACTACTTGCTCATCTTGTTATAGATGGATCAATACATGGCGCTTTCGAAAAAAGACTTGATGATACACATCACCATGAACGAGCTGTACAATACGCATTCTCTGATTTTACAGCATATAGAAACACTAGTACGTTGATTAGAACTCTTATCTTTAGCTCACATTCAATAGTTTTTACAGTCTCCGAACGACAAGCAGCACTTGCGCATATTAACGGACGAGTTGGGACCGGCACCCGCCCAAGTCCCACGAAAGGAAAACCGGACAATCGAGCTGTCACTCTATAGTCGCTGGGAAACACCCGTGCAGGACATTCAGAGCGCGTTAATGGACTCTGTTTCATCTAGCGATATGCTGTACATGGAGACCAAATCGATCTTTGTCCAACTCATCCGTTCCATCCCCAATGCATCCGAAAAACGACCCTACAATTTGGCTGCCATTGCGGAGCGAGCGGCCACGACCAAGGATGCCACTCTCGTCCGCAAGGGTATCAAGGTGAAGGAGATGCTTCGAGAGCTGGAGGAGCAGAAGATTGTCGAGCAGGCCGACGGATACAAGCTCATGCAAGAAGAAGTCGCTGCAGAACTTACGCACCTCGGTAACCTCCGGGAAAAGGTGGTCCTGGAAACTCAATCCCTCGATGCGGTATACAAGACCATCGGCGATCACAACAACTATCTCAGGTCGCAGCTGGAACAGTATAAGGCATATCTTCAAAATGTGCGTTTGACGGCGTCAAAGGACAAGGGAAGCACAACTGGTGTGGGTGTTGTGACTGTTGGTGGTAAAGAGAAGAAGCCAGCGAAATCTGTTGTCCTGGGGCCGTACAGGTTTACACATGCCCAGCTTGAAAAGGAGGGCATCATCGTTGAGAGCAATGTGCCTGATAATCGGTATGTTTCGAGACTGGTCGTAAAGAAAGTTCGTCTGATGACATCTCTGCTACAGCCGTCCAAATATCTATTTCAATATAACTTCCCCAACGCCTGGTACTTTCATCATCGCATTGCATTACAAGGGTCGAGAGAGGGCTATCCTAGAGATGGACCTCAAGATAGATGATCTTTTGGAAAAGGTTAGTCAAGGCTGTTGATCCAGCTCGATTTGCACGCTAACCCTGTTTTACAGCAAAAAGACAACAAACATCTGTTGGATCTGGAATACGTTCAGCTAAACGTTCCAAAGGTGCTGGGTCTGCTGAAGAAGGTCTTTGCGAAGCGGTAGATGATTTATGCCATAGCGCTTCTTTGGTTATTTTTTCTCTGTTACCTTTTATACAGTATGTATCACCTCTTTTTGCCCCTCTTCCTTCGTCCTTCTTTATTGTTATGTCCGTTTGCTACCTCTTCCTTTTCGATATCTATACCTTTTTTCTCGGATGTATTATTCACTCTTGTAGTACACTCATTAAGGCATGTTGTTTCTCTATCATATGTTGATTGATGTCATCTTTTCACTGGACTGTTTATGTAAATACAAGAACAAAACACACTGCATCTAAGCACGAATCATCCTTTGAACAATTGTTGACCCTTCTTAGTACCACAAACTGCGCAAGCCAAATGCAGAGGCTTGTTTTCGCTGAACACGAGTGTGAGTAGCAGTTCCAGAGTTCAAGAGGGTGGCTCACAGTGTGCAAACTGAACAAGGCCATGGCAGGTGTTCTCCATCGCGGCCACTGTGTTTACTGGAACCACCAACCCTCCGGCCCTTACCTTGAACCGGCGTCATCCCTAGAGCTTCTTTTTTGCGAAAGGCAACTTCCGTCTCCACTATTTTACCAAGACCTAATTTCGACCCACTGTCTCGTGTCTTTTTGGAAGATGGTTCAGAGTCTGTTAAACGTTAGCACTCAACAACATTCAAGAGAATCAAACAGGTACCTGCAAAGTTCTCAATCGTACTTGCTTTCCGCTTCCCTTTCGCGTCTGCCCCAGTCGATTCCTCATCGGAAGAAATGTCGATAACGTCCGAACGACCCTGACCGGTAAAGACAAAATCGTCTTCAAAGCCCCTCCAGGATTTGCCACTGTGGAGATTATCAAGATCTTCATCGTGTTGTGTAGCAAGGAGTGCTTTTCTTCTGTCCGAGTCGGTTTCGGGAATGAGCCCTGCGTCTTCTAGTTCACCGTCATCCTCCACCTCGGAGTTGGCCTCTGGCGGTAGTATAGCGGGCGTGATGGCTAGAAGGGATTTAGCGTATCATCCAAAAGTATGCTTAGAGACTCACAAGAAGATGCCAACGACTGCAATCGCCTCTCAGCAGCAAGTGCTCGCTCTTCTCGAGCTCGTTTGCTAGAAACAATGGAGATAAGAAAACCTTCACAGATACAAGTGTCGAACGTGCCTCCCTGCTTGTTTGCCGAATCCTTTTCCTGCAGCAGTGGCGTCACTACTTATAGACACCCCTTCACCCCGAAAGGCATATTTGGATGTTACTCGGGATCCCGCTTTGCGTTGTTTGGCCGTCTGTCTCCCTGTTGAGTTCGATGGACGTCGCGGACCCCTTCGTTGACGTAAATGGGCTGGACGGGTGCGACTTTGAGCACCACCGCACTGGATCGTAAGTTAGAAAAGGAGAAGAGGAAGAGAGACGATGAGCACGATGTATTCTGGTAGATCCCCAATATCCAGTCCCTGACCCGGAACAACTGCAGAGTCAGCGAGTCGAGTTCCAGCTGACCAATAGCCTACAATGATGTTGAGTATAGATGCGTTCAAAACTAAGAACGACACATGCCGTCTCCATAATATCCTTTGTCTTGGAGTTTTCGTACCTCATTCCTAAGCTTCTGCCACAACGCTTGGAAAGAAGGTCCGTGATTCATATGCTGTTTTCCGTAAAGATGGAGCGATGACATACGATTCAGTGACAGCTTACTTTAATATGTGCCAACTGAAAGGATAAAAGTCAGGTAAGAGCATCCCGAGAGGCTTATATCATACTTCATGGCAGAGTGTACTCATGAGCCACGATGAAGGAAGAAAAGAGCCACCAGGCCTTCTCAGAACAAGTTCTACATGGTGAA